GTCCAGCCTGGCACTCTGTGATGACCTAGAGGGGTAGAATGGGGGGAGGGGAAGGAGGCTCAAGAGGGAGGCGATATATGTATAATTATGGCTGATTCTCATTGTTGCACGGCAGAAGTCAACACAACATTGTAAAGCAGTTTCCCTTCATTTAAAAATAAATTTTAAAAGACAAATAAAAATGGGTAAAATACTTTGACAGACACTTCATCAGAAAGAAATATGAATGTAAAATCAGCTTATGAAAAAGATCCTCAGCCTCATTAGTCACTAGGGAAATGAATTAAATTAAAACCACAAAGAATTGCCTCTACACAACAATTAGAATGCCCAAATGTAAAAAGATTGACTTTACTAAGAGAGGATGAAAAAAGAAATGAACTCTCACACTGCAAAATGAGACCTGCCTCCTGCCCCACCCAGGATAATAATAATATTAATTACAACAACAATAATAGCAACAGTAACGTTAAAAAGTACATACCACAAGATTTCATTTACAGAAAGTCCTAGAAAATGTACTCTAATCAAGTCAGGGAGAGCCATCAGAGTTTACCTGGGGATGGGATGAAGGAGGATGAAGACAGGAGAGAGATTACAAAGGGGATGATGGTGCTCTTGGGACAGATGGGTATATTCATTCCCTTAATTATGGTGATGGTTTCACGGGTATGATTATGTCAAAACTGATCAAACTGTAAGCTTTGAATTATGCAGTTTATTTCATATCAATTATACATCAAGAAAGCTGTTAAGAAAAACAATTACACTACTTCCACCAAAAATGAATAACTAGCAACTTTATGAAAACCACTGTTAAGTTTTCTCAGGAAGAAAAGCTTCTTTAAAGAAACTCTGAAGAGAAAAATCAAAGCCTCTCAGTTCCCATTTCCAGAGCTAACCTCTTACTTCTGGGTCAGTTTGTTCAGAACTAAAATGAACACACTGCTATATTTAAAATGGATAACCAACAAGGACTTACTGTACAGAACATAAACTCTGCTCAATGTTATGTGGCAGTCTGGATTGGAGGGGGTTTGGGGAAGAAAGGATACATGTATATGTATGGCACATTCCCTTAGCTGTTCACCTGAAACTAACACAACATTGTTAATCAACTACACTCATACAAAATAAAAAGTTCAAAGTTTGGAAAAAGAAAAAAGAAAAAAATGAAGACAACAACAGCCACAGTTACTGCATAAGTAACATTCGGAACTTCAGAAAGCCAAGCAGTTATGAGGCAATATCCTTCTGTATGTTTGTCCTCAAAATACTTTGCAAGTCAGCCAAATTGGCTTATCTACAGTCTAAAAAATTAATGAGGTGTTACTGCATTGAATTAAAGTCCAGTCCATGAATGAGAATCTTAGCTCTAATAAACAAGATGGTCACACTTTCCAACAAAACGTTTGATAGCAAAATAATTGTTATGTTCCAAAATGCCCTTTCTTAAAAGATTACTTTAATTTTTCATCAGCTGTTATCTTAACTTGAAGGATTCGTCCATCTTCCCACCACAAGAACTTTTACCATCATTAATTTGCTATTAATTTTTAAAGTTGAAAGCACTTAAATGTACCATCCAGGCATAGTTTGTAATATATTCATTAATACTAATCATTTGGAGCAAATGTAGAAAAAAAAAATAACTGCCAGCTCTGCCTAATCTCTATTCCTCTTCATATTTTGAAAGATTAAATGTAAAACGAGTCATCCTTTCACCTGGCAAGGTTCACTGGACCACACTTTATCCTTGAGAGCAGGGACAGCACTTGGGCAGAAAAGCCCTGACTTGCAGTGACCTGTGCAGGTGAGCTGCTCTGTGCAAGCTCCAGAGCTTGACTGCCTTCCAGGTCAGCAAGGAAACCAGGTCACAGGACAGGGTGGGTCCTTCCTGGACACTGGAAGAAGACCCTTCCTGAGAGGCATGCTCAAGAGCAAAGGCGAGACACAGCCAGTCGAGGGTGCACTTCCAGACGCCTAGGTGGGGAGGTTTCAGGTTCAGGTTGGACAGACGTCCTGTGCGGAGGCTCGTCTGCCTGGTCAGGGGCAGTGGCTGCTTTAAACACGATGCCAGGTGTCACTTGGGTGGCAGGGTGACACCCCACCCAGGGACCGCCCCCCTTTCCCAGGGGTCTTGGGTCAACACCATACCCACTCACGGCCCCAGGTGACCATCAGGTTGTGGCGATTCCCCAAATGGACTTGGGGGTCAAGTATTTACATTCTATTGATTTTCCATTTATCTGTGGAAAGTCAATTTGTTTCTCTTGATTCCCAGTTTTTGCCTTTTATTTTATTTATTTTTTTTTTTTTGGAGGCTAATTACTTTACATCATTACAGTAGTTTTTGTTATACATTGAAATGAATCAGCCATGGATTTACATGTATTCCCCAGTTTTTGCCTTTTAGATGAGCACAGATGAAGTGGGTCTGAGATCGGTCACTTAAATCCAAAAAGAAACACAGTTTGGTTGCTGTTATGTCACCCACCACCTCGGCAAACTAAACCATCGGCTACCTGGTGGTGACACCCTTAGCGAAAAGGGGGAGTGTTAACCACAGGTTCATTTACATTCCTCAGCGTGAAAATGACCTGCTTGACATTAATTTTCCGCACACGGACCGCTTTCAGATGAAGTTCTCACCAACCTGCCTCCATTAAGAACAATTTCGTCTTTCTGTGCTGTTTCCATTAGCGAGGCTCAGACGGCTCTGATGAGGAGGCAGCACCATGGCTGTCCCAGGTGAGGATGCAAACGCACTAGAACAAGCCGCATTAGACAATCACCTGCAAAGCCAACAGCATCAGACACAACACAAAAGTGACTGCGCTGTGTCACTTTCTAGGAGCCCACTGGCTTCTCCAAACCAGAAGAAAAACACAGAAAAAAAGCATCAGGGCAATTAAGACTCCTGACACATTACTGACATTTTAATGACTAGTGTAAGAATAGGACAAATATAATAAATAATACTGTACTTTTCATGTTTACTTTTCATTTTTTTTTATTTTGTTACAGAATGGTTAAATATTGCTGAAGTTTGAGGCTTTGGCTTTTCTTTCATATACTGTTTTAACACCGGAATAAACATGTTTTTCCTTCACTAAACAAAGCTCATTTTCTTATTGTGATTTGTTGAAACAGGACATGGAAAGGCCGACATGGGACAAGTTGTTGTGTATTTATTTAATAGAGAATGCTGCCTCCACAGGGAATGGCCTGAATCTCTCCCATTCCTTCCCACAATTCTTGTTCATTTTCAAACTGCAGGATCTAAGGTGGAAAAAAAAAAAGCAGCAAAACAACAAAATGAATTTGAGAAAAGAAGTCCTACCCCTACAGTATAGAGAAAGTGACTGTGACTGTCGCAGAGAAAGTGCAGAGGTTGGAGTGACAGCCAGTCAGAGATGATGAGATGCGACTTTGAGGGCTATTCAGTCACCCCCATATGAGTGCTCACTGTGCACAAATGTTCATGACACACAGAAGAAGAAAACCTCCAGGTTCCATCACTCTCAGTCATGACTATGGAAACAGCAGACGCTGACTCCCTAGCTAAGCCTTCCACCTAGCCCACGTTGGAACGTTTGCTGCAAATGTCCAGATAATTTTGGTGAGAAAAAAAGGACCTCCCCCCACCACTCCCACGTTGCCCAGGGCTGTCTTTACATGAGTTCACCTCAGAATTACTTGCAGTGTCATCTTTGCAAGGAAACAGTCAACAGTGAGTTGACACTATTAAAACTGGCTTTTTGTAAAGTCACCAGCAAGTAGATGTTTGTTTACAGCACTCAACACATTTCAGCTCACATTCAAGGACACCACAGAGCAAGTCAGATCCACCTGCCTCGGTCCTATCCTCCACCCAGTGCACATCTCACACTTTGCATGCAGAAAACCCACAGGATACAAGCTGGCTGGGACTGGTGGCTTTATCACAGAGGGGAACCCAGGTGAGGACTCTGAACCCTGACCTTTGCCTCCTGGCCTTCAAAGTGTAAGGTGTTTGCTGTCTACAGAAATTCCCGAGGAAACACAAAACCTTTGGAAAGTCCCATACTTGGGATTAACTAAGCCAAATTTTGTTTAGTCTGCCATCTTCCTTAGGGAGACCTGCCAGAATACGTTGGAACTGGGCTCTATTCCATTAAACAAACTGTGCTGAGTGGTATGTTATCTGTCTTTTGTAAGTTATGTGGATTAGCTTTAAAGCTTTATTGTGCTGGATCAACTTCACAAGAGGGGGCACTGAATTTTTTATGGTTTATAACCATGTGAACCATACAATCCAGTGTCTCATATCCTACTCTCACTCTGCCTTAACCTTCCCAAGTGTTATTTGCACCAGTCATGTCCTACTGTTTGTGACCCTATGGACTGCAGCCTGCCAGGCTCCTCTGTCCATGGGATTCTCCAGGCAAGAATATTGGAGTGGGTAGCCATTTCCTTCTCCAAGGGCTCTTCCCAACCTAGGGATTGAACCCTAGTCTCCCACATCGCAGGCAGATTCTTTACCATCTGAGCCACCTCAGAAGCCCAACCTTCCCATAGGTAAGCTCATAACTATCAGAAAAGAGTCCTGAACTTTGTTTTGGAGAATTTGGACAGTTCTGTGCACAAACAGGTGGGAATCACTAATTTTTCCTCGGGCAGCCCTCCTCCCTGTCCCTTCTCTACATCCTCCCAGTCTCCTGTCTGCCCTGTCCACTACGGGTCCCTGCCCACCTGCTCCACAGGCTTCCCTGGCTAGAACCTTTGAGGAGCTCCACCCAGTTGTGAGTGGAGTTGGAAGGAATCATATGATTTCTTGGGACTCTTGGGTTGAAAGAAGACATCACTCTAGAGAAACACAAGCCTGCAGAGGTGTGCTCCACACAGGAGCCGGATTTCAGGTCACAACACCTGCGTGAAGACCTGTGAAGTAACGTGGTGTGGTCCCAGGACCAGGGAAACCTCCATGCCCTCCCGCAGAGCAGAGCACTAGTCAGCCCGGCAGAGGCTCCCACACAGCTGAGGGACCCTGGGGCTGCTTCCGCTCATTATGAGTTTTTCCTAAGTTCCTAAGTAACATGGATGCTCAAGAGAGCAAAAATGAAGAATCTAAATCTCCCGGGTCAGAAATCAAGGGCTGACTACATTACAGCATAGCTACACAGTCAAACACAATCAAAAGCTTTGCAGTCCATGAAAAATCACCCTTTAGAAGAACATTTCACGACATGAAGAGATGCAGAAATTGCACAGAGCAAGTTTCAGAATGGCCTGTGAACCATACTGTGCAACAGTCAAGCATCATGATTCAAAGTCTGTTTGTAAAAAGCACAATTTATGCACAGGAAAAGCACTGGGAGAATACAGACCAAAAATGAACAGTATTTCTGGGAGTTTTCTAGGATTTAAAAGTGTTTTTCCTGATTCCTTTTTACACTTTTCCAAACAATCACCCACAAGCATCTTAATGATAAACAAATCAATTCACTATTTCTAAAAGTATTCTAAATATATTCTAAAAATAAAGCTAACCTTCACCAGAAAGCCTATTTGAAAGCTTACAAGAAGACAAAAACGACGTGGATTGTTTTGAGGACAGCCACATCCGAAGCTAGATACATGGACTGGAGTCTCTGTGGTTGTGAAATTTGTGACAAATGCCCACGCAAGATGACTTTTTCTTCCTGATTGTCTGCAGTTTGTTTTCTGCCAGCTCAGTTGGTGGATAGCAATGCGTTGAAATTACGCCTTAAGAAAAAGCTATCGTTTAAAATACGTAAATTTCCAAGCTTTCAAAGGCTAAAAGGTAATGTCCTACTTTCACCAAGTTAATGGAGGAAGAAACTACAATAAGGCAGCTACATGCAAACATATGTGTATACATACACATATATGTGTGTATATATATTGCATTGTTTAGCTCGAAATATCTATACTCTGATAAACCACCTAACTTCTAACGACTCTATAAGAGTATGGTGATGAAGCTTTTAAACTTTTTAAAGGTATTATCTTCAAAGTGTCTATAATAACTTACAACCATAATTTTAAGTTTGAGGTAATCCCAATGAAACATAAAGATGGTAAGTTATTACACTATTAGGACTGCTATTATCCACACACTTGGTTGGCAAGTCTGGTTTACCACCTGTTGTAACTAGTGAGCTAATAATGGTTTTTGCATTTTTAAGTGCTTGGGAAAAATCAAAATAGTATTTCATGAAATGTGAAAATATTTTGAAATCCGAAGTTCAGTGTCCACAAAGTTTTGCTAGAACCTAGACAAAACCTTAAAATCTAGTACAGGGCTACTTTTGCACTAAAATGGAAGAATTCTTCCTGGAAAAACTATCAACAGAGACCATAGGCCTGCAAAATCTAAAATATTTACTAACTGACCCTTTACAGAAAAGGTGTTTTTAAGGTGGTTCAGAATAGTCTTTGTATTTCCTATTATCAGTCTCTAGATGGCAGAAAAGAGCCTTAAATTGGGGTGTGTGGCGCGACCACAGCCCCATAGAAGGTATACAACTTACATTTCCAATTAAATCATCCCTTAAAAGTCCAACAGTGCAAAACTTTTTGCTCTATGTGTTCAATAAAACCAAAAATTAAACTTCTAGTAGAACAGAAATATTCATTCAGTCTGGAACTAATGATCTTGCAACAGTAAAAACATTTTTCTATATGTGTTCAATAAAACAAAAATCATATGTGTAGAAGAAACTAAAAGACTCACTCAGCCTAGAACTAATGTCTGCACTGAAATTTTGTATCTATCCACTTCTGCTTAAAATAAATATTATGTAAATCCACATCATTAAAGAGACTTCTCAGTGCCCCCCAGCTTTATTGAGGTACAATTGACGTGTGAAATTATAGTATATTTAAAGCGGACAGCATGATGCTTTGATATAAGCATAGATTGTAAACTGATGCGTAGAACCTCAATCAAGTTAATAATCACTTCACATAGCTACTCTTTTTCTTTTCTTTTTCGTGGTATGAAGGTTTAAGGTCTATTCTCAGCACATGTCAGTACAATGTTATTACAATGCATTGCTACTACTACAGTGCCCCGTATATAGATCCTCAGAATTTACTAATCTCATACCTGAAAATACGTACCTTTTTCCACCTCTGCCTATACTCCCCACCCTCCAGCGCTTAGCAACCGCCACTCCCCGCTCTGTTTCTAGGTTTGACTTTCTGTTTAGATTCCACATAGGGGTGAGGTCATACAGTATTCCTCTTTCTCTGACTTATTTCACTCAGCACAATGCCCTCCAGGTTCATCCAGGTTGTTGCAAATAGCAGGACTTCCTTCTTTTTCATGGCCAAGTAACATTCCTTATGTGCGGTGCTTAGTCGCTCAGTCGTGTCCAACTCTTTGCAACCCCATGGACTGTAGCCCGCCAGGCTCCTCTGTCCATGTGATTTCCCAGGCAAAAATGCTGGAGTTGGTTGCCATTTCCTCCCCCAGAACATTCCTTATATATGTATACTATTCTTTCTTTTGTCATTTGTCCATCAACAAACACCTAGATGTTTCCATGTCTTGGCTCCTCTGTTTTTCATGTCCATGTATCCTAAAGAATTCACCCCGTATCTTCTAAAATAATGACATTTTCCCATATAACCACACACAACCATGCACCTAAGAACTAACAGGAAGTCTGTACTATCAGCTAATGACCAGTGAATATTGAAATTTCCCCATTTAATCTCAAAAGGATTTGTCCTTAAACTGAGATGTGATCCAGAGTTTGGCTTCTCATCTGTCTGCAGGCTTCCTTGCTTCTCCTTTGAAGTAAAACAGTCTCTGCCAACACCCTTCACACACACTTCTTTTTCAGAATGCTGATTTTTTAAGAGACCAGGTCGTTTTCCTTACATTCTACATTCTGGATTTAATGACTGCTTCCCTGTGGAGTCAATTAAACCACATTCCTGCCCCTTATATTTCCTGGAAATTGGAGGTTAGGTCTAAAGTCTTAATTATACAGTGCCTCGTTCCCCACACTGTATCCAGCCTAGAAGTCTGAAACGTCAAGAGACCCCACTCTGGTAAAGTTTGTTTGGGTCAACTGGTCAAGGTGCTGACTACCCCAGAAGGAGCTTAGCAAATGATCAGTGAGCTTACACTCTATCATCCTTGTAAAGAATCTTCATCCCAGGAGCCTCTTTAAGTCATGGTTTCAATTTGTGAATAGACTTAAGTATCTCATGAAGAATTGGTAAATGGTAGTTTTCTAATTCTAGCACTCCTTTCCCTTCATTAGCTAGTGACATCCTGTCAGGAGGAGTTTTCCCTCATTAACTGAGAACAGCCTAGAATTCCTTCCAAAGAGTCAAAATAAATGCTGGGTTCTTTACCTTGAATTCCCATTTTCATATAAGACTTTGGGATAATAGTCAACTTCAACTGAAGCACATAAAATCTCTCTCTCTCTCTCTCTCTCTCTCTCTCTCTTTCTCACACACACACACACACACCATAGACTCATGTGTTTTTACTTTTACATTTTTATGGTCACTCAGTTCTTTTTGACCCTCAATTTGTCCTCTGTTTGCCCTCAAGAGCACCCTCCCACGGATGCTCTGATATGTCCTTCTTATTCTTTGCTGTAAAACATTCTCCCTGGTCTCCTTCCTCAACTGAGACCATGTGTCTGCTCTTTGTTGCAAACAACAGCTTCCCTCCGCTTCACCCCAGCAGCAACCCCACCCGAAGCAACACCTCTTCCCTCCAGACCGGGTAGCCAACACATTCAAGGCAGAGACTGTGTCCCCAGCCCCACCAAAGCCCGGCTGACCTACCAGTGGGCAACAGAAGAAACTTAGCAGATTCTCAGGGCCCGGTAGGGGCCTCCCAAGGGCTTGAGGATTATCTTACGGAACCGTCAAATGTCCAGCGATGCCTCTTACCTGGCGTAGTAGTCGTTGGGGGGAACGGCTTCCTGGAAGAACTGGAACTGGTACAGATAGAGCCCGATCAGGTGTCCCGCAGTGAAGATGGCCAGCAGGACGCAGAGACAGCTGAACAGCAAGGGGTCGAAGGTCCGGCACCAGGACCACCAGGTGCACAGGCCCAGGAACACGAAGAAGTACACGGACGAGGTCAGAGAGGGCAGCATCATCCCTGAGGGGGCAGGGGCGGGGCACGTGTGAGAAACGTGGAGAGGAGGAAACCCCGCACAGCTCAGCCTCCCTCACTGCTGGGGATGATGAGGAATTCCTCCTATGCTTGTAGTAAAATGCATCACACTCCCTTGATGAAATCAGAATTAGTGCTATTTGTATTGTGAAAAAAAGTCACAGGTAAAGTGAAATTTATAAACATGAGGAAATATTAAATGATGAAGAAACCCTACCTGTGGCACTTGAGCCTGGACAACAAACATTCACTTCTCCAACCAGTAGAATTTAGCATGTTTATTTGCCTGTTTCCATTCTCTATTTCTCCCCCAGTTTTTCAGGAATACTGTATGTCTGTTCTAACTGTCCTCGATAAATTTTTAAAATAATGATTTACTTTTGCTTGTCTGTTGATGAGGGTTCATGATAATATTGCATTCAGTGGCAGATAAAACCTCACTAAATCTTTGTCCTGCCCGACAAAATGTGATTCGCTCTATCACTAAAAGTGGAAATGTCAAATGAAATCATTCCTTCATAGGCATTTAAAAACTTTGCAGGGAGCACTTTGAAACAACTTCTTATTAAAGTCCTGAGTTACATTTCTTGAGAAATACTCTTCACTTTTCTATCTTTTAACTCTCCCATGGAAAAACAGTTGCTTCATCTCGTGAAACTTCACAGAAGCAGGATGGAATAAAGTTCACAGCAGCTCTGGGGCAATGGGGACGGGGCAAAGATGGAGATAAGGTTTTTATGGACGGAGCAGCCTGCAGCCAACAGGGAAAGGAAGTGGGCGTGTGTGCTGGGAGATTACCATCTAACCGTGGAAGAAAAACACTCTATCCTGAAAAGTTAAATTAAGAGACCTACTGATTCAGTGTAAACCGACAAGCTTCCGAAAGCCCATGTGTAGCTCTGGATGGGGACAGAAAAGGGTCTCTTGTCACAGATCACCACCTACAGACTCTGAGGGAGGTGACAGTGGTCCTGTTGGTCACGTAGAAAGCAACACCACCTAACTGCTACGGGAAAAGACTGCTTTACAGAGCTTAACAAAAACCATCTAATACATTAAACCTACAGCTGAACGGGAAAAGCTGTGTGTGTGTGTGTGTGTGTGTGTGTGTGTGCACGCGCGCACGCGCACGCGCGCGCGTGTGTGGTTTGTAAACGTGGCCAGTTTCACAAAGCTAGAGTTATGATTTTGTTGCTGCAGAATAGAACTGTTTCCTTCTTTCATCATTCGCCAGCTCGCTCCTGTGCACCCCAGTACTTGGAGGCTCTCACCTGATGAACCCAGTAAAATCGTCACAACCACCTTCCCTGCAGTGGTTATCATGTTGCCAATAAACTCCTTCAGCTTGGAGGCCACGGAGGCCAGCCTGCGGAAGAGTTTTAATTTCGTGCTTTCCTCCAAGTCGCCTTCAGCACCGTCTCCTTCATCTAAGTCCTCTTCATAGATCAGGGCCTCTTCGGAGTCTATTTTTTCTCCTCCAGCCTAAATAAATGAAAAACAGAAAACACTGCAGTCTCTGCCTATCCACCCAGAATATTACATGGTTTGTAATTTACCGGTAGGTCAGTGAGGTGAATTTCAGAAATGAGGAAAACATGCAGACTACCACTCAACCACGTAAGCCCCCTCAAGTCTCTGGTGGTCCCTGTGTGAAGCCCAAAGAACTTTGATCTTTCTTCAAGGCATAAACAGGAAGCATCGCTAATGACAGGGTCCCCAACAGCAGGTCATCTCACCTACACGAGCTCATTTTATTTTACACACAGAAGCCAAAACTGTCTGAAACATCTATTCATAACTTAGCTTTCAGCAATCTGGGTTTGGTTCCCCAGATTTACTTAATGTGCCACTAAGGTGATGGGAAGTTTGATGAATGGGCTTAAACGGAAAGGATGGGCCAGATCAGCGCTGAGGAAATCCCTTCTCTTTCTGGAGTTTATCTTTGTTCACTATTTTAGTATTTCCTGCCCGTGGGAGGACGAGTGGTCCCGGCTACTTGGCTAAATAAACAGTCGCTTCCTATCTCATCCATTTAGAGAACTGTGCACGGGTCCAATCCCAGGCCACGTGGGACCTCAGGACCACCACTAGAGATTCAGAAGGAAACACATGCACAGCACATACACACTTACATGGATTATTTTAAACTGTGTATACCATGGGCTTTTTTGTTCATTTTGAAAGAATACATAAAATTTTTTTTTGGATAATTACAATCTTTCCCTGGAAGGGTTAGGATTTTTTTTTTAAGGAATTATAAATATAAACCATTCCGTTAAGATAAAAGGAGCCTGTCTCAGATGCAGGACAGGCTTCATCTTGAAAAGACAGCAGCTTCTGCAGAGTCAGACAACTCTGAGGCCCAGATCAGACATCGAGTCCAAGCAGTAACCTGTTTGCTTCATTTTCCCATTTTAAAGTTTCTTTCTTTTTAAAAATTTTTATTGAATGAAAGATCCTTTAAACTCTACGGTGCTTTACAGTTTCAAAGATTTCACATATGATTTCATCTAATTCCATAAGTCTTTTTTCCCTACCCCACTACTAACTGCTAGTTTGTTCTCTACACGTGCATGCCTACTTCTTTTTTGTTTCATTCACTAGCTTGTTGTATTTTTTATAGTTCACAGATAAAGTGATATCAAACAGTACTTATCTTTCTCTGACTTATTTTACTGAGCATAATGCCCTTCAAGTTCATCCATGTTGCTGCAAATGGTATTACATCATTTTGTGGCTGAGTAATATCCTATTGTGTGTGTGTGTGTGTGTGTGTGTGTGTGTGTATACATCACGTCTTCTTTATCCATTCTTCTGTAGATGAACGTTTAGGTTGCTTCTCTATCTTGGCTGTCGTAAATAGTGCTGCTGTGAACACTGGGGTACCTATTTCTTTTCCAATTAAGGTCTTTGGTTTTTTTTCAGATATATATTTATATATACATATGTATATATTTCTTGATATGCTTAATTCAGAATTATATAATATTCACTGCTGGTGTCTCAGCTTCCATCTCACTGGAGGAAGATGGGCATAGGAGGCTGGTGCACAGCTCAGTAAGTGCTGAGTGACCTGAGGGCTCAGACCTGCTATTTGCCTGGGTGGATACCAGCCACTTGGGATTTACACTGGCTGTTAATGAAGCCAAGGCTACAGGATGCACTCCCACCCCTGTGCACGCATACACACACACACACACACACACACACGCACACCACTCATACACACACACACACACACATACACACACACGAGGATGTAATCCCAGGCTATTCAAGTCTGTATACCCAAATTGTGCATTATACTGTATTTCATCATAGCACATCTGTACTTTTTCCAGAAGGAAGAAGAATGTCTTAGGCTTGTGCATGAAGATTTTTCAATCTGCTCAGAGCCCATTATGCCTCAATGTCACTAGTATGAGACAGAAGAGCACACACACTAGTAAGAGATACAAATAAGTCAACAACGAAATATCTCACAGAGACACTTGCTATTCCAAGAATTAAAACAGAGTGATGTGATTGAAGGAGTCAGGGCGGCTGTTTTAGATTCTGAGTTCAGGGAGAGCCTCTCTGAGGAGGTGACATTTAAGCTGAGCTCTGAATGTCACAGAGCCACCAGCCATGGGGAAATTCTAGCCAGAGCCTTCCAGGCAGCAGGAAGGGCTGGCCAAGCCTCCATAGCGCATCCCCAGACCCACTTCCTGTTACCCCTGCTCCTCCTCCTCACTATCAGCTGATGCCCCTGCATCCCACCTCATAGAGACATGGGGCTGAGCTCCAGTCAGTGCAACACCAGCAGCCCCACCTGGGATGATGGGAGAGCTACAGAGCTGGGGTACCAGGAGGAAAGCCCACCACCCCCTGCCCTGCGTCACCTACAGAGGGAGTTTCGAAGCAAAACTCTTTGAGAGGTGGCTGGACTCAGAGCAGGACTTGACTGATGCTTCACTTCTCTTGAACCCAAGATCAGAGGACTCTGATCACCAACCACTCCACCCAGTGAGGGGGACAAGGGGATCCCTTTCCTAGAGCAACTCCAGCAGCTGCAGTAGGGGAAGAGCAAGGGGGCCCTGCAGCCAGGAGGCTGTGCTGGTGGAAGAGGGGGTGGGGAGTGGAGCTGAAGAGGGTTCACGTCTTGGGCGAGCATCTCATAAGTCCAGTCAGCAGACCCCAGTTGGTAAAGTTCACATGGCAGGAGGAGGGAAGAAGGAGAATCAGAGGGAGCTCTTGTCTCTGTGGACGAGGTCAGGATGACCAGACATGGAGCAAGTTGGGAAGCCAGTTCTAAGGTGGAAGTATCACGGGGGCAGCTAGTGAGGAACCTGGAGTGTAGACAGAGGTGAGAATTGGAGAGGTCTACCTGAGGCTCACTGTCAAAGCAGGATCTGATGAGGTGACCTGGAGAGAGAACACAAAGCTGCCTACCTGTTGGAGTTGCAACACCTGGGACCAGTCTCTCTCTCCAACTTTATCCTCATCTTTTGGCCCAGAAACATCACACAGAGAGAAACATGTAGAGAACCTGGATTCCACAGGCTCTCTGCCTTGGGATGTGCTGTCCCCACACCGGGGAAGCCCCTCCCCAGCATCCAAGTCCCCGGCTCCCAGGCCAACTTTCTTTCAACTTCTCCATCTCCCAAAGCTGAGTTGCTGTGGGGACTGATCCAGGGATACTGTTGCTATGACACCCACATCATCACACACATGGGCATTTGTTGCTTAATACTCCTTGTACAGCAGGTGGGCAACATCCTAAAAATGCCTCTAGAGGAAGAAGATTAGTCCAAAACCTTCAGTCTCCGTACTTGACCAAGGAGACAGAGAGAGGGTACACAGCTAGTGTTGCCTGGGTCATAGTCAGAACACACTCCTAACTTTCACAATAAATGACTTATTGCTCAATTACGGAATTGCTACGGATGTAGATTAAATCAGATAGAAATCTCTAGTCAAGAACCTTCTCGAGTTTAGATGAATGCACTTCCCCGACCTCTCCTGGGCGGGACAGGGACCCTGTGATTTTTATAAACAGACCAGTGTACTTGAGGTTTTTCAGCATTTTTGTACTGGAATCCCTGGGGCTTTCAGTTGAAAACACTTTCTAAACCTGCCAAACTGAGAGGGAGCCAAAAGTGAGCCCCACCATCCCAGCTGGGGCCAGAAGTGCCATTAGTCATGTCAGGTTGGTCTTCTCCCCGAAATGATCCATCTGGAGCAGCGTAAACACCGACGCCCTAGAAGCCCCTCGGCTCACTCACCAGCAAGCAGGCTGGGCTGCTGGAGCTGAAATGTGTCCCCACATTGGAACTCAACTGGATCCTAGCCGTGGAGCTAAGAAGGAGTACATGCTAAGTCGCTTCAGTCCTGTCTGACTCTTTGCAACCCCATGGGGTGTAGCCCACCAGGCTCCTTTGTCCATGGGATTTTCCAGGCAAGAATACTGAAGTGGGTTGCCATGCTCTCCTACAGGGGATCTTCCCGACCCAGGGATTGAACTCCTGTTTCCTACCGTCTCCTGCATTGGTAGGCAGGTTCTTAACCATTAGCGCCACCCGGGAAGGGCTTCCCTGGTGGTTCATCTGGTAAAGAATCTGCCTGCAATGCAGGAGACCTGGGTTCAATCCCTAGATCAGGAAGATCTCCTCCAGAAGGGAATGGCAACCGACTACAGTATTCTTGCCTGGAGAAGCATGCTTAAACTTTGTCTTTCAGTTTCTTCATAAGAAGGAATAGCTGTAAATAAAGATTTATTTTTTTAGTTCTTGAGCTATCTTAGAAACGAAAGATAAAGAAAGCCTTTATAGTTTAAAAAGCCTAATAAAATATTACATATCAGCATTTTCCAGGTTGAAGTCCATAGCTTATATAAATAAATGTAAGTGCTTTGACTCATCTTCTTTAGAAGTCTCTGACTTCAAAATGTGCCAGAAGTACTCAGGTAGCATCTCATGTCATGTGAGGACACTCCAAGTGCTATGGAGTCAACTGGGTGTGAGGTCATGGTTCCCTGAGCCTGGACCCAAGCCTCCATGCCTCATCCCATCACGGCGTCCAGCCCTGCAGCCTCATCCCCAGCAGTCAAGCCTTAGCAGTTACTCCCACTCAGTTCTGGACCAGGAAGACACCATCAATTACTTCTAGTAGAACCCAGATGTTCATTTTTCCTTACCCCCAAGCACTAAATGAGTCTACCTGTCTTGGACTAAATCCAAGGCTCACCTGAGGCTCTTTAAGAGGCCAGGTTACCAGACTCCACCTCACAGTTCCTGAATCAAGAACTCCAGGAGTGAGTCCCAGGAACTTGTCTGATTAAAGTGCTGCATGAGATGATGTGGAAGCAGGCAGCTTAGAATCCACACTCTTCCTGATACCTGTGACCCTGGACAAACTCACCCCCTTGGAAGCCTTGTGTTTGAGTTGGATGCCAGGTAGACTCCCTTGACTGGAAAACATATTGAGGTAATTTATCTAATGGC